ATTTCATCTCCAATTAAAAAAAGAAAAAATTCAGACTATGTAGCAGTTCATGAGCTGGTATTCTGTTTCAAGACTTGGAAAATCTCGTTGCTATAGGTATTTTCTTTGTTAATAACTGAATATTATAAACAAACCATGTCAATCGTGCTCACATTGCGCTGCAGAATCATTAGACAATGGTCATTGTATTTCTGTAATTTTAATTAAATTTCCAATAATATCAATTTCCAATCCAAGGCTCGGGGTGTGAAAGAAAACGAAAAAGAAGAAAATGAGTTTAAGAACAGGGTCTACTGGGGAATTGGGATCATTTACTCCCCAGTTTGCCGGCTCAACTACTTTTTAGGTGAAACCAAATTTGCTTCCGGGATATGCTCTACGATTTGCAGGGGGAATAGCTACCGAACCTTTATGTTGGACTTTCAAGTTTAATACAAATTTTCTTTAATGTTTTAGGAACTTTATCATCTATATGATTTTGCAGAAAATGAGCACTGTGAGTTTCCTCTCGCATGTTTGGATTAGCTTATGATTTGGTGGTCTTGTGGGAGTCTATGCCCATGGTCCACCTTTGGGCTTTGAATTTTTATTTACCAAACCCTTTGGGGTTTGAGTTTGAATCTTGATAGCGCCTGAGCCCTTATGTGGGTTTATGTTTTGGCTGCTGATGCCTGAAAACTATCCAACTATTCATATTACTTGTTCAGTTTCAACTATTTCAGCATAGTTTTCCTTTAATGGAAAATTAGGATAAATCCCTTGTTATAAAATTAATTGACAAATGATTCATAGGATATTCCAATATCAGATTACACAAGAAAAGACAAGTTGCACATATTAGAAGTTAAGTTGTAAAAAAAAAAAAAAAAAGAGAACATCATAGCTAATTTAATTTGCATCTAGAAAAAATAGATTGCACATAAAGGAAAATTGCATCAAGTAAAGACGGATTGCATATAAGAGGAGTTAAGTTGCATTTAAAGGAGTCTAAGTTGCATTGCATAGTCTTTATGAATTATTTGCCAAACAATTTCTCCCAATTACCTGAGAGGGAACCATAACTTCTCGGATTCTGGGTTTTTATTGCCCTGTTTTTTTTTTTTTTTGGCTTTTTTAAAAACAGAGAATGAAATGATGATGAGAGAAACAGCTTCTATATCCAAAAGGATAGAACATAGTTATACCTCTGCCGCCATCGCTTCCGACGATGTTCAATGATGAAAGTTGCGATTGCAAGGAATTGAATCCGACCTCTTTGGGTCTGAAGTCTGAAGGCGGGGGCTGAGGATATGAGGAAGAAGCAAAGGGGGGAGGAGGAGGAGAAAGGGGAGCTTCAAGTGCTCATACATCATAGTCTGTCCTTGACTCTTCAAAACAAAGTTCATCATTCTGCCAAAATGATCACAGAATCCTCACCAATTGTAAAATCCTAGCTATTTTTCACTAGACTCAAATTTTTTTCCTGGGTTTCATTCATAATTTTTTTTAATAAAAGCTAAGGTTATCGACAATGTCTTTCTTACAAATTGGACTTACTATTATTGGTTTACTTATAATTTATAATTGTGTCAATGATAAATTATTTGGGAGAAATTATTGAGTTCCTTAAAATGGGCCTGGCTTACAGATTTAGCCCAATCATATAATTTGTGAAGGGCTAGTGGGCGGCATATGGGGGCTTTTGCTTTAAGGGCAAATTAAGGGGAAAAAAAAAATTCTCTTTTTATGAGAACGATATTATCAGATTAATTTATTTCTTCAATTTATTAAAAAATTTATTTACTACCTACCGTACTAAATATAAGATTTAATTTTTAATATAATTTATATTATAATCTAGATCTTATATTTGGAACTAGAAGTAGTATATTATAATAAAATAAAGTTGATTATTAATATTCAATTTCTTTATATTTTTTTTCCAATTGTATAGGATTGTGTTTGTGTGCATAAATTTAGTCAATTGCTGATAATTATGAAAACAATATAGTTTTACTTAAAATTAGTTATGTATATTATTATATGACCTGTACATTACAAGTTTACAACAACTAAGTAATTTGTTGAAATTAGCTAGTCCATGACTTTTTTGCAGGGCTTAAGTGCTTAATAATCCTACCATTGATAATATTTTGAAAAATATTGAAAACTTCAAGAAACTATAGCCTCACTGATGAGACGCTGTGCGCGGTTCATTCCCTGGCTTAGGTTATATCATATGTAAAACAGAACAAAAGAAAATAGAATTCGAGCACTTTAGTAAAACAGTTTTCTCACTCGAGTGATGAAGTCTCTCATTACTAAGTACCTTAATAAAATTTTTCAATGAATTAGCTGAATCAAAATGAAGATGTCAACATAGTAGAAATGAATGAAATTGTATTATCCTAAGTGCATGTGTCATTATAACAAATAATATATAAATAAAAAAAAGCCAATAAATTACAATTTTGTATATTTTTTTATCCTATTAATTTATGGTTTTTAACCCATGTTGTGTATTTGAAAGAGGTTGACCTCTTTGCTTCTCTCATGTTACAATCCTCTTCCCACTGAGCTTCCTTTCTCTTCAGTCCACAGAAACAAAATGTAGGACTGGTACTAACAGTTCATCACAAAAGAAAGGACTCATTGAGCCGAGATCACTAACTAATACTAACAATTGAGTTTAATTGACAATTATTTGATTTTATCAATTAATTTTAAGTTTTTAATTTTTTAATTTAATGCATAAATTCTCTTTTTGGAGCTAATTTCGAAACCATCGATGGGGAGATTATTTTGACTGAATAGTTTGGGGAATCTTAAGGTTCAGGTCAAGAATTGATTTTGGAATACCTTTTTTCGGTAAGGTGATTTTGGAAACTTTTGTTATTTATATATTGCATTTTAGGAGTTGAGAGAATATATGCACTAACTCTAAAAACCAATTAATTGGTGAAACTAAATGGCATGCAAAATGACTATGAATTGGCCAAATGACAGAGCATCGAATGTTTGAAAATTCGGATCTAAATAATTAACAAGCTATGTTAATGTCATAAACTTAATCCTACAATAGTTTCATTTATGAAAATCAACTCCCCCCCCCCCAAAAAAAATCCTTGATGACATTCCCGTGTCATCTCCGTGGGAGGGAACCATCAAAATTGGGAAAACCATGTTTGACTTTTGACACTCGGATATGTTTATGTTTATTTGTAAGTCGAACCATTCTCAAAACTTGAGGCTTCGGTTTGCGAGCCAATATCCTTGTTAAACGTTTGAGTAATAGTAAGTATGATCAAGTCAAATTGCTTTCCAATCCAACAAATTAAAACATAACTTCTACAAAACGTACAAGTTCAAAAAAACAAAAAACTTCTTTATATGATACATATAACTATATCCATTTTCACACGCAAACCAAAATAAAAAGAACAAATAAGAACTTGAAATATGCGTGGGTGTGTGTGTGTGTATCTTTTCACACCATATGCTGTTGCATTGCAATTACCTAGCTGAGACGGTAGTGAGCTGGCCAAAATGATTGATTGGATGGCTTTGTAAACCATTTGAATTGGCATGATCTCTTTCCATAGCTAAACATTTTTTTAGTTCATGCAACACATAGCTAATATCTGGCCTTTGGATGGACGGTAGTGCAATGCATGACATTGCTGTCTCAACAGCTTTCCATTCAGAATCAACATTAAATTCACCTTTCAGTCTAGCTTGCATCAACAATGCTTTGGATAGCCCCGCATTCAATATTAGGACGGATCCAATCAACTATAAAACAAATACTCTCCAATTCTCTTCTTATTGGAGGATGGCCTGTGATTAGTTGAAGAAGAATCATCCCAAAACTGTAGATGTCACTTTTTTTATTTAGATTTCCAGATCTTTTAAATCTGTAATGCCAATAATCAGTTAGCCTATAATAGTTCTCTTTTGGTTTTTGTTAAAGGATTAATATGCTTATGTTTATTCCTAAATTTTGCAGCATTGAGTCTATTAAAATGAGTTTCGAGGAAAAACAATGGCTTATTATCTTCTAACAATCACTAACAAATAATTCTTCATCGATCAAATGCAAGGACTTACTCAGGATCAATGAAGCCAGGTGTACCAGCAGGTCGAGTTGATAGATGAGTATCTCCTTCACTTATAAATGCCTTAGATAGTCCAAAATCAGGAATCTTGGCAACCATGAATTTATTTAATAAGATATTGGACGGTTTTAACTCTCTATGAATTATGGGAGTCTTACAGCCACTGTGAAGATATTCCACACCTGCAATTTCATCAAATTATCTAAGGCAAGGTAAAGTGTGATTTTTAAGGAGCGATACTGTAACTAATTCTCTAACCTTTTGCTGCATCTATAGCAATTTGAAGTCTCTCATTCCACTTTAAAACATTTGAGTTTTTCTCTGCAGAAATGTCGGTCAGATCAGAGTGCTTCAGGAACCAAAACATACATATGATGATGTATTGCAGCATTTCAATGAAGTCGATCTCAAATAAGAAGTTAAGAGAATTTGATCAGAAAAGCTAAGTTTCAAGGTTTGATCACGCCAAGAATTGTTCCAAAGACCGAGAATTTGATCAGACTTCTATCTGGTCTTGAAAATATTCAAGACAAACCTGACAATAGTCCGCTGAGGTCTCCAAGACCCATATATTCATAGATCAATGCTTTGACGTCGTTTTCATCACCAAAATCAATAAGTGAAACCAGGTTTCTATGATAAATGACTGTTAAGAGTTGAGCCTGCAAGTTAAAAGTTAGCTCTATCATTATTAACAAGAACATCATTCTACCAACTAACATGTTTATATTCAATATCCAGTGATTAAACAAAAATTGAAACTATTTGAGTTTTTATTTTTCTAACCTCTGATTGAAATTCTTGGTACCCTTGCCTTAAAGATTGAGAAAGTAACTTCACAGCAACCTGGGTACCATCTTTTAAATTGTCCAGGTAATCCCAATACGAATTTCGAAATTGTTTGTGATGCAGAGAACCTCTGAGTAAGAAAAAGCTTGATTTTTTCCTTTTAGAACGTCCATCTTCCGAGATTCATCAGTAGACAAAACTGCAGTGTTAAATCAAATGCCTTCATAATTCATAAATCAAATGCTTTCATCGAGCTCACAGGGATCCCTCCAGCACCAAGAGGAGTTCCTCAAATCAATGTGTGTTTTGACAGCGATGCAAATGGCATATTGAATGTCTCAGCAGAGGATAAAACGGCTGGAGTGAAGAACAATATCACAATCACTAATGACAAAGGAAGACTGAGCAAAGAAGAAATTGAGAGGATAGTGCAGGAGGCAGAGAAGTACAAGGGGCAGGATGAGGAAGTTAAGAAGAAGGTAGAGGCCAAGAACTACCTGGAGAACTACGCCTACAACATGAGGAACACTATCAAGGATGAGAAATTCGCAGGGAAATTGGATCCAGCAGATAAGCAGAAGATTGAGAAGGCAATCGATGAAAATATTGACTGGCTTGCCGGGAACCAATCAGCAGAGGTGGATGAATTCGAGGACAAATTGCAACAATTGGAAGGTTTGTGCAACCTCATTATAGCTAATTAATATTCCTTAGATCATAAATATAAAACCCTTTTTATAATATAAATTACACTACAAAAGGAGTCTTATATTTAGAACCAAAGAAGTATATGTCAAGGTGCTGGTGGCGATGTGCCCACACGGACAGTGGCTCAAGCATGCCTACAGGTGGCTACAGCAAGTCATCCTTTGGTGGAGCCAGTGCAGGGCCCAAGATTGAAGAGAAGTTGATTAAGTTTGCGAGGAGGCTGTCCTGTTGTTTTCTATCTTGGAAATATGTTTATGTTCTAAGCTTTTAATTCCGTCTGTTCTGTCCTGTGTGGTCGGAATGGTAAAAAAAAAAAAAAAAAAAAACTAAGTATGAGTTCTAGACTTCGTATTTAGAGTTTGTCAACGGAAAAAAAATTGAACATTTCATCTCTACTTTTCATTTTATTTCCTGAGAAGCAGTTATTCTTTAATCCTAATAAGGTAGCAGTGCATGCATACTTGCTCATATTCTTATTTTGCGTATAGAGATGAGTTAGCGGGTTTGTGCTGAGTGCCTGAAAGGTTTGTATGGGATGAATCTTTGAAGTCAGACCGTCTTGTTTCAGTAACTTTCTGCATTATCATTTGAACAGGTGGATTAATGTACAAGGCAAGGTTGTCCTATAGCATGTCTGGTAAATCTGTACTTTGAGTTTAATGTCTGGTGGTGTCAAATACAGAAAGGTAATGAAAGAAATATCAGATTTAAATTTGGTATTGGTAGGGGAATGGGCAATTTAAAACTTGGTATTGTTAGTGGAATGAGCAATTTAAGTATTTCTTCTACATTTTGAAGCAGTTATGTTGTATACCTGTTCGTGGGCTGGTATCATCAATCATCATCATTAAGAGTCTACCAATTTGTGTAGGAGTTGATTAAATGATTGTTTATTATCATATCTTATATATGTATTGATTTTTACCAGTTCATTGATTAAATGATTGTTTATTATCTTTGTTTATGTTGTTACATTGTATTTCTGTTAGTGGTTTTATTCTTTCATATTGAAGACTTTGTTGGGTTGGTCAATGCATATATTAATTTGGTTTTAATAATTGATAACCTCCTATCATTATTATATTATTTGTGATTTATTTCCAAGCCGTTGGTGGATTTATATATCCGTTGGAGGCTTTATTGTTATAGTTATCAAATATATCAAATTGGTTTAAGCATTTTTAACCTCCTTATAATTCCTCAGCGTTATCTTTTCAAGACTAAAATTATTAAGTTCGCCGGATATGGTTGCAAGTGTATTGGCGGTTGACAGATTGTTATACTAGAAATTTATTATCATTGTTCATTACGTTGTGACATTATTTTTAGTATATATTTTATACAAGGATGGACCATTTTATAGATGTGATCATATTTATGTAATTACTTTAAGGTTCTGTTTTGAAAACAAACTGTGTGGATTTTAAATTTTGAGATATGATTCTGGTCATGATGATTTTTGGGGTATCACCATATAGTTGGTGGAAGAGTCTAATATACTTAGAATTATTATCGAAGAGATATGAAAATAATTTTTCTATATAATGAGATATTTGAAAGTATGGGGGTGCTTAAATCGTAATGTGACTAACAAAAACAATATTGATTACAAAATTGTGTTAGATTAATTTTATAAGTCACAATATATATGTTGTGTTTGGGGGGAAAAAACAGAGGCTTTGATATTCGCACAATTGCCTTGAGGCCAAGTGTTGTGAATCATTTTATTTTGTGTTTGAAAAATTAAATAATTTATCTAGTGTAGAGGTAAATGTGCTTTAATAATATCATATTTGTCAATAAATATTTATCTTGATATAAATATGCATGAGTATTCATAGCCATTATGAATATTGAATTTTAATGTTGATATGTAATATTATATTTTAAGCTTCAAAATTTAATTGGAAGTATAGGTGAAACAAATGTGTTTTTTGAGTGTTGAGATCATAAAGGTAGTGTCAAAATCTCTCAACTTGATAAGTGTTTTTAGAGTTTGGTTCTCAAGAACCAATATGTAAATATGTCTATGATACTTTATTTGAGATAGTTGTACAGTTCAATCTGTATGTACACAAATTTTTGAAAATTTGTTGTATTAAATTAATTAATCCCTGTGATATAACCTTTGTTGCAAGGTTTGGCATATATCTAATTATGGAATCCTATGATGGAAATGAAATGTTCGGGGGTACCATAAATATTGGTATTATGTGCGATGGAAAGTAGACTTGGTGGATCTGTTAATAAAACTCTTGAGAAAGAAACAGATTATAGAAACATCAAGGGGAATGAGACTTAAGCCAACATGAAATTAACGATGGAAACCCAACCTTTGTGATTGGAGATCCCATGAAAAAAGTTCAAATGGCAAAAACAAGTTGTTTATTATTTCTACTAGCACTATTGTAAATTCATAATCCCTTCCTATGATATGAGAAAGTGCGAGAATATATTTTTTGGCGAGGATGAGCAAATTCATAATCCTACAGGATATTATGCTCATTGCAGGTATGTTTAATGAAATCGCCTCTACAAATGTGGAGTGGGGCCGCTCCTGTGAGATCGTGGTGAAATCTCTAGAGCATTCGTTAAGAACCGGGCATGGTCATGGCCATTATAACACATAAAATCGCCATTAATAGTAGAAATTGTGGGGATAATTTGACACTTAATGCCTCTAGTACACACTCAAGAGTTGTTGGTTTATAGAAGCAGGCTTCACTGACATCTCTGTGTACTATGTTTTATTGGTCTAGGTTTGGTTCATAGTCTGAAAGACACTAGATTCGAAATGGTTATATTTCTGTATGTAACTCAGATGATAATGATCCACATGTGGGGGATTGTTGGAGTTTTAGTGTGAGTGTGTTAAAAGAAATCTTATGTTAATCAAGATTGAGAAAACCTTAGTGTTTACTATGATATGAGCTTAAGCTAATAAAATGGCTAAGAAAAGTAGTTTTTAGAACCGACCTTAAAGATAATCAGTGTTGTCAAACTCGTGAGTCAACTCACCGAGTTTATTGAGTTCATGTTTTCAGCTAAAAAAATTGAGTCAACTCGGTCAAATTCATTAAACTCGCTGTTTTAAAACCGAGTTAAGTGAGTCAGGTAGATCTGGTTAATAAAAGACTAAAACAATAAAATACAAGCTAAAAAAAAATTATATCATGCTTTTAAAAAACAAACAAAACTTGCCCTATTTTAAGCTTGTAATCTTGTGCAGCTGCCGCCGCTATCTTCTTTTCTCAATTTCACACCTTTACGCCCTTGCTTGCTGCCACTATTTTCTGGTTTCATCTTGTGTCGAAGCAGGAGGAAGACGAAGAAGAAAAAGGAGAAGAGAGTGAAAAGCCCGTGAAAAGTAAGTTTTGGTTTTTGAAATATAATAGACGTGTGTAGGAGTGTAGGCCTATAGGATACAGCTGTGATGTGCATTTTTAAAAAGTGAAAGGCTGACCAAAAAAAAAAAAACATAGTTTCTGACATTTTTTTATTATTATTTTTTAATAGGTTTTTGTGTGAAAGTGGTGTGAATTGTACCGTGGAATGCAAAGCAACCTACTGTATATTGACTCTGTTGGGTGAGTATTTTGTCTTTTTCTCTAGCTTTTCATGATTTTTTCGTTTTATGTGTCTTAGAGAACAAAGTGGTCTTTGTTAAAATATGAGGAGGAGTTGAATGGGTTAATTTTCAATATTGTTTCATTATTCATTCTAATAGTATTTTATCATTCTTTTTAATTATTGCATTTAACATTTAACAAAGATAAGCTCATATCAAATAAACAAATTCGGTTTCACTTTACTAGCTATTTACTTTGTATAAAAGATTTTACTTATCTGATCTCTAGTTTATTTTTCAATCTTATAATTTATTTTGACTAATTATAAAGTAGGTAATATTAAATTGAAGATGTCTTCAAGTGTAAGAGAAAATACTAGGAAAAAGGTTATTGCTGGAAGAAAAAACTATCCAGGTAGTAGATCTGATATAGGATGGAAACATGGGATGTATGTTGATGGGAATAGCAAAAAAGTAAAGTGTAACTATTGTGAAAAAATTGTCAATGGAGGTATTTATAGATTCAAACATCATCTGGCATGCACTAAAATAGATGTCAAAGCTTGTATTAATGTTCCTGAAGAAGTAAAAACTACAATACTACAACATATTTGTGAAGCCAAAAGTGCCTCAGCTAAAAGGAAAAGACAATGGATTGATGTCAGTGAAGAAGAAGATCAAGGCACTAAAACACAAGTTGAATCTCAAAAGTCAGAGAAAGTGCTCATGAATTTCTTGAGAAATTCAGAAAATAATAGCAAAGGGGCAAGCAACTCCCAATGAACCATTAATCAGATGTTTAAGAAAGACATGAGGGAAGAAGCTTGTCAACAAGTAGCTCAATTTTTGTATACAAGTGCCATTCCTTTTAATTGTATAAAAAATCCTGAGTTTATAAAGATGTGTGAAGTCATAGGAAGATTTGGTCAAGGATTTAGGCCTCCTTCTTATCATAAGATTAGGGAGAAATACTTAAACCTAGAAGTAAAAAATACACAGACCATGCTTGATCACTTTAAGAGTGAATGGATAATACTAGGTTGTTCTACAATGTCTGATGGTTGAACTGATAGAAAAAGGCGTTCAATTTACAACTTTTTTAGTGAATAGTCCTAAAGGGACAGTATTTTTGCATTCATTAGATACTTCTGAAATTTCTAAGACTGCTGACAAAGTATTTGAGATGCTTGATGAAGTTGTGGATAAAGTGGGAGAGCAAAATGTGGTTCAAATAGTAACTGACAATGCTGCAAATTATAAAGCAGCTAGGTAAAAGTTGATGGAAAAAAGAAAACATTTGTATTGGACTCCATGTGCAACCCATTGTATTGACTTAATGTTGGACGACTTTGAAAAAAAGATTGTGTTGTACAAAGAAACCATTAGTAAGGGTAGAAGAATCACTACATACATTTATACAAGATTAATGCTTATTAACCTTTTGAGAAAATGCACAAATGTAAGGGACTTAGTCAGGCCTGCTGCACCTCAATTTGCCACTACATATCTGACTTTATCATGTCTTAATGAGCATAGAGTACCACTGATAAATTTGTTTAATTCTCAAGAGTGGAAGAATAGCAAATATTTATCCACTTGAGATGGAAAGGAAGTAACAGGAAATGCTATTGACAATAATTTGTGGAAAAATGTTGTAACATGTCTGAAAGCTGCTGCTCCTCTTGTTAAAGTTCTTCGCTTAGTAGATTCAGAAGAGAAGCCAGCTATGGGATTCATATATGAGGCAATAGAAAGTGCAAAGGAAAAGATCAAACAAAATTTTAGCAATGTTAAAAAGAAGTAAGTATTAAATTAAATTGTGCTTAATTTTATTAATGTAATTTTTATGTTTTTTTATATCTTGATTACTTCTGCAGTTTTTGTTGAATGACTCTTTTTATTTATTAATCGTCATAGTTATGAGCTTATATGGAATATAATTGATGAGAGGTGGAAAGCTCAACTACACAGGCCTTTGCATGCAGCAGCATACTATCTTAATCCTCATTTCCATTATGACGCTGATTTTAAACCAAATTATATGATCAAACAAGAATTATATGATTGCTTCTCAAGAGTGGTAGAGGATAAAGATGAGCTTAACAAAATTGAGTATCAATTGCCCGACTTTAATCATAAGAAAGGTATGTTTGGGCGTGAAACTGCATAAGCATTAAGAAAAAAATTGGTGCCAGTAGAATGGTGGGATTCTTATGGAGATGAATGCCTAGAACTTAAAAGAATTGCAATTCGCATTCTTAGCTTATGTTGCAGCTCTTCTGGTTGTGAATGTAATTGGAGTGCTTTTGAGATGGTAAGATATACATATTTTTTTTGTAAAATTTTCAACATAATTTTGCTTGAAGGTTTGCATAATAATAAGTATTTTTCTTTTTTGTTTAGATTCATACCAAAAGAAGAAACCGATTGCATCAAAAGAAGATGAAGGACTTGGCATTTGTCATGTGCAATTTGAAGCTAACAAGGAAGCAAAATAACAGAGCTTCTAATTATGACTTTGATGTCATTTATTCTGATGATGAATAGATTACTAAAGGAAGAATAGACGAAGAGGGTGTGGAGGAAGAAGATGATGAGGTTCCTCAATATCATGAGATTAATGAGAACATTGTTAATCCAATATTTGATGTTGACCTGAATGTTGATTTGAACGTTGATAACATTAAGGAAAATTATAATGATAATGATGATGATGATATGGGGCAAGCAAATGGAGATTACAATGGTGAGGGTGAAGAATTTGAAGACAACAAAGATGATAGCAGTCCAACATTTGATGACCTTTGTAGAATTTATAATTATTGTTTTTGAATTTGATTTTATTGAGTGACTTCATATTAATATAATTTTGTATATATTTCTATGTTGGGTATGATTAACTATGAATGCTAATGGATTTAATTTCAATGATATAGATTTAAAATACAGGTAGACTAAATTGTTATATATTTTTGCACTTGAATTATTTAGTTATATGTCTTTAGTAAACTCTTATAAGTTTACCATTCCGAGTTTATATTCCTCTCACGAGTTTACTTAAACTCATAAGTTTGACAATCTTGGTTGTGACAGAGCTTCAATTTGATTTCATTATTGTGATGTTGTTATTGAGATTTCACGATGTCTCATTTACATGATGAAACTTGTAAGCTTTGCTAGAAGGAAAATATCTAAGGAAAATCTTCATTATGGTGCTGCATCTATAGAAAGATTCGAGATATTTTATGCATTACTCTAGACCTAAGGAATACGAGATTTCTCATATTTCAAGGGATTACCCCTTAACTACTGGGATCCGACATTCTTAATCCAACAAAACATAGCTTCTAAGGAGCAAGTTCACAAAATTCCTTTATATATTACACCAAAGAATATCCTATTTCTGTTTCATATGCAAAGCCAAAAAAGAAAAACAAATAGGATAGCGACTCTCAGGGTGTGTTTGGTATAAGGGATTTGGGTGGGAGGGAGGGAGGGAGGGAGGGAGGGGAGGGGAGGGGAGGGATTTTAATCATTTTTCCTTGTTTGGCAACACACAAATTTTAGGAGGGGAGGAAAAATTTTAAAATTTTTTTCCTCCCCTCCCCTCCTCAACCTTCCCTCCAAAATTGGGAGGATTTGGAGGGGAAGGGCAATATTTTGTCATGTTGTGACCATTATGTCCATATTTTGCCATGTTGTGATCATTATGCTCATATTTTGTCATGTTGTGATCATTATGCCCATATCTTAAATAAAATAAGAACAAAATTGTCCATATTAAAATATTTTTCCCTCCCCTCCCCTCTTTTTTTAAATCCAAACAAGATAATATTAAAATCCTTCCACTCTCCTCCCCTCCCCTTCCTTCCATTAAAATCCCTCCCCTCCCCTTCCTCTCATTGAGCCAAACATACACTCAAGGACGATGAACTACCTAGCTGAGAGGGTAGTGATTGGATCAAGTTGTCCAGAATGATTGATTTGATGGCTTGGTATGCTATTTGAATTGGTGTGACCAATCTCCATAGCTAAACATTCCTTTAGTTCACGCAACACGGAACTAATCTCTGGTCTTTGAGTAGACTGTGGCGCAATGCAAGACATTGCTGTCTCCACAGCTTTCCATGCAGAACTAATATTGAATTCACCCGCCAACCTTAGATCAACAATGGCTTGGATATCCCTACACTCAATTTTTGGACGGATCCAATCAATAATAAAACATATATCCTCAAGTTCTCTTCTTATTGGTGGGTGGCCAGTGATTAATTGAAGAAGAATCATTCCAAAACTGTAGACATCACTTTTTTGGTTTAGGTTTCCTGACCTGTGAAATCTGTAAATATCAATAAACAGTTAGTTTATAATTTTTGCCAACAAACAATTAGTTTGTAATAGTTCTTTATTTTCTTTGGATTAACATTGTTATGTAAATTCCTAATTTAATACTTCCTTCGATCCTAAATATAATACCTTATTTGTATAGTACAATTTACACTATAAACTACGTTTTATATTTAGGACTAGTGAAAGTAGTAACAACTCTATTAAATTGAATTTCAAGAAATATAATGGTATGTTTCCTCCTAAAAAAATCAATAACAATATTCCTTCATTTGATAAAATGTAGTGACTTACTCAGGATCAATAAAACCAGGTGTACCAGCTGGTCGAGTTGATAGATGAGAATCCATTTCATTTTCAAATGCTCTAGATAATCCAAAATCAGCAATCTTAGCTACCATGTGCTTATTTAATAGAATGTTAGATGGTTTTAAGTCTCTATGGATTATAGGAGTTTTACAACCAATATGGAGATATTCCAGCCCTGCAACATCATTAGATTATGTAAGGTAGGGCAGTATGTGATTGATAGGGTGAATAAACATCACTAGTTCTCTAACCTTTTGCTGCATCTATGGCAACTTGAAGCCTCTCGTCCCACCTTAAAACTTTTGAATTTTTCTCTGCGGACATCAGTTTGTTAGTGAAACTGCCTCAGGAACCAAAACATGCATATGATGATAATGGTTCGTGTGTAGTGATTGAATGAAAATACACACACACACATATGAATCTGGTACGAGACCAGTATGAGAAGCAAGGCTAAATGTCAAGGTTGGATCAACGCTGAGAATTTGTTAAAAGAAGGAGACTGAAAAGTGGGGTTAAAAAGAGTATGGCAAGTAGAAATTTGAGAAATTATCCATGTAGGTTTGCCATTAAAAGCCATATATATTTTCCTCTGTTTCATAATTCAAATGTTCTCTACTTTTACTATAATTTTGTAAGAGGATAATCAAGTCCTGCTTCCCTTGACATAATCTTGGCATGGCATAAGAAACCAGATCACATCTACAAAGTATTTAATATTTATAATTCGGTATTGGAAAGTATATAGTTTTTGTTACTTGATACTTGTATAACCAATCATTTTCCTTGGAGTTAAAAATATACAGGCGTCCATATTCATTTATAAGAATTAAATTGATTAACATTTTAGAAGTCACACACTTTGATTTCTCTAGTCACCAGAAAAAAATATCAATAGGTTCTAGTAGGACCAATGATCCAAAACCTGCTACAAAATGTCTGAAGGCAATCTCAGCAAATGAATTATCTAGCAAGTTGAGCTAGTAAAATAAATAACATGGCACCGAATTAACAGAACAATTGTAAAGATACTGAAATTGAGTGAAGAAAATGAGTGTTAAATATCTCATGCACAAGCTTTTGCAACAAAATAGCTCTTTCATTTTAAAGTCTTCATATTTCACATGGTTGGAAGGTTCAATGTACCGGCTTGCCTTTAACATCAGCCAATGATTTTATGAATTCTATAATTAACAAATGTATTTGAGGCATGGAAACCATAGGAAAATTATAGCAACAGTTGTAAAGGCCCGTCATTCAAATAATATTAAGAAGGAAGAGAGGGAGGAACTGAGGAAGTTTCAGGAGGTTCAATCTTCGTCTGGGCTCTGCGCGGCCATTGTCCTTCTCCCTGGTCGTCACCAATGTGTGTTTGTGTGAGAGTGAGTCTTTCTATGTTGCTCTGTCGTTGTCATCTTCCTCTCTCATGCGTCAGTTTGTGTAGGGTATGCCCAAATCCCTTGTCCCTCCTCTGTTTTTTTCATAATGCTGCCATATGTGTACGCGTGCAGAGCATTGTCTCTACCTTTATTATGTCGTTTGTGTGGATTGGAAAATTCTGGTGTCTCTTCTAACTGGTACTTATTTTGGCTTTCCCAAGTTTGGTTATTGAATAAAACTGGATTTATATTTAGAGCATATAAGTTTGGGGTCGTGATAAGAGGAATGGAGCATGCTATATATTTAGCGCATATTAAGCGTTTGATAAAATGTCTGAAAGAAAAAAGCTGATGTGGATAATTGTTCCTTGAATATTTTTTTGGTGGAGATGAATTTAGATTCTATTTTGAATTGTTTTAATTTAAATCTCCCATAAAGATAGAATTAAGAAGCCTAGTAACCTTGTGATGATGTGGAATGAATTTTGGTTGGTATTTTACTGACTGTGGTGCTTGTCTTATGACATGATTTTAGGATGCGCATGTTTGATTATATGCGCGAGGAAGGGATTTTGATTCAATTGAGCAGCTAATAAACATGGGTGATGTTTTCATTGTCTACATTTTAGTATGAACTCTTTAAAGTCTATGGTAGAACCTGAATTTGAGGAGGTTGTTTAAATATGTAAATGAAAGTAAAGATAATGAAAAATACTTCTTTTAATTTAAATATGGGGTTTTGGTTACAAGTTGATGTGGAAATTAAAGGTTGCAATGTAACCAAAGAATTTATCAAAGGTTTTGATTCATTAAAGTACTCCTACGGTCCTTAGTGTAGGACTTATCCTATATATAAGACTTGTTTCACATGTTTATTAATTTTTTTCAAATTAACTGTACTAATATTCCCTATCAAGTAGGAGAAAAAAGAAGAAAATTAAAAAAGATGATTAGGGTATTTCAGAAAAAAATATCATATTAACAAATTTAAGTAACGTCATTAATTCACTCAAATTAGTTCATTAATTAGATTTTACATTAAAGACGGAGGAGTATGTTATAAGGTAGGCAATGATTACAACGTAGTTTGGGCCTAAAGTTGAAGTATGGATGGGGCATATGACTTTGGAGTAAGAATGGAAAATTTTAACATTTTGTTGTACGAAAAAGAATTATGCCTTTCCTTTCCTTAGGAGGAAATTCAAGTATAAAGGGGAGTACCATAAATCAAGTGAACTATTATGGGTTTCATAAAATTTTAGACTTAAGCACAAATTGGCCTTGGAAATTTCCATGCAAGAGCGTTTAGCACTCAATTTTTTTTTTGGGTTTGTTTTTACTTCAGAAGTTTAAAATTATAGAAATTTTAAAAAATTTGTTGCCGTGTTTTTCTTATACATTGAAATGCTTCAAGAGAGTAAATCTTGTAAATTAAAGAGCGAATTACAATATTCAGGAACACAGTAGGTGAGTGAATAATGCCCCAATTAATTTATAAGTAAATTTCTCTTATCCAAATGCTCTTCTAGTCTTATTTATAGGGTACTTTCAACATGTTTCACACAGATGAAGAAAAATTTTAAATTGTATTAACTCTCCGTTAAAATATAACAACTTTTTAATTTTATCTCTATTTAATATGCGCAACTTTTAAAAATAATTATTTACACTATAATAAATGAAGGACACATAGTACCTTTATGCTAAATCTTTAGTAAAGTGACTCATAAATAAAGCCCAAAAAAAAAAAAATTTCTCTCTACCTTATAAATAAAACCAGAGGAGTATATTGGTTTAAATAATTTACATGTATTATAATATACCTCTAATTATAATATTGATTCTTGTGTTGTTTGAAGTATTTTAGGTACATTGGTTTTGGAGAGGAAGTTAGATTTATTTTATGAAAGTTATCATTATATTTAATAGTTAAGGTGTATCGAAGTACTGGGCACTCGTCAAAAGTTTTTGTGGATGCAAATTTGTCTTGAAAATTTAAAATTTAGCAATATTTCCTCTTACCTTCAAAAGACTAACATTGACTATTAACATTTTTAATGGTAAAGTACAGTATTATTATAATTTTAAACTTCCAAGGCAGATTTGCACCTAAAAAAACTTTCGGGTGCCTATGCTTTTAAATGAAAATTTTTGGAGCAAATTTGCACCTAAACCCTATCTTTAAAGTAGTGAAATATAAGGAAATTACTATTTTTGACACTTAATAAAAGATCTAGTCTGTGGTTTAAACTATAAACTAAATCTTCTCCTAAGAACGGAAGGTAATACTTAATTTTATGATCTAGAGAAATATGTCCTCATTATCATTTTTAATACAAGATATGATCAATGGTATTGAAAAGAGATGACATTTAGAAGTTATAGACTCCATGCATGCTTACAAGAGGTCAAGGCATTGAATTTTGAACGCTAGTTTTGTTAGCCTTCGGCGCACCATCATACAGATCCTTATGGACTAACCGGAAGGGCGCAATCCATAAATCCCGCAATGGGATGTGGAAAGTGCTTAGCTAGCAGGTGCTAATCTTGTGCAATAACTAACACACTTGAAATGGAGGAATGAATATTTGTGAGTGTCACAGTCGCAATTTTTAATTGTGGGTCTGGTGGGTGGATTTGCAGATTGTGTCCATTTTTATTATCTCTTGTGCTAAGTAACAGGTTTGGAGATATATATATATATATATATATATATATATGAGATATCTGTTCATATGGGACGGAGCTTGTTTTTATCGTAGAATTTTTGTGAGGTCCCATTTATAAGTTGAGAGTTGGATTTATCATTTTATCCTTCATATTTATCTCTTTTTTTTCAAACTAATTTATTTAAGTTATAAATTGATATATAATCTAATGTTATAGGTATACTATAAAAAAAATGTTAACATTTAGCGGCAACTTGCCATCAACAAAAAGTAGCTGCCCCAACAATTGTTGCTGAAAGTTTTCAATGGCAACAATGATAATCGCTGCCAAAAGTGCATTTTAGTGATGGCTTTTTTAAGTTTTGACAGCCCATTTGTTGCAGTTGAAAGCTAGTTTCAATAGCGGCAAAACAGGTTACCGTTGAAGGTGTCTTTCATTGTTGACAGAAATGTTGCTGAAAGTGTTTTTTTAACAATTATTCTCAAAGAAAAGTATGAGTCACTGGTTGTCACATGTTCGCCACCTCACCCATTTATTGAAAGTCTTACTTTCAACTATGACTTTTTAGAATTATTACAGAAGGTCTCGCTTTCAGCAGCGAAATTCTAGAGTCACAGCTAAAAATCAGACTTTCATTTGCATCTTATATTGTTGCGACTAAAGAGCATACTTTTTGCAGTGACTTTTAAAGTTACTATAGAAAGTTAACTCTCAACGATGACTTCTAGGGTCGGCGTAAAAAATATTAATTAAAAGTCAATTTTTGTAGTGGCATTTTTGGGAGGTCATATCATATTTGTTATAATTAACTAATTTATTTAAATTATTTGATTTATTCAAATTAGTTAAGTAACACTTATATTAATATAGTACTTTTGATATTAGTTGTTTACTACTTGGAACATGTCTAGGAAACCAACAAAATTTTTTTTGCCATTCTAAAAAACAAATAAAAGAAACCAAAGCTTTTTTTTTTTTGAGCAATAATCCTTACCCGTTAAATGTTGCTGGAGGTCACCATTAGCCATGTACTCGTAAATTAATGCCCTAGCACCACTCTCTTCACAGTATCCAGTCAGAGAAACCAAGTGTTTATGATGAACAACAATCGAAAGTTCTACCTGCAATTTATACTCAACTTTATCATTTTTATAATAAGAATCAACTTTTTAGAACGAGGCATCCATGAGAAAACAAAAATATAATTCCATTGTTAGATTTCTTTTTCACCTCCGATCGAAATTCTTTATAACCTTGCCTTGATGACTGAGAAAGTAACTTCACTGCAACCTGAGTATTATCCTTAAGAGTGCCTAAATAAACTTTTCCAAATCCTCCTTCTCCAATCAAGTTTTGGAAGTTATTAGTGATTTCAAGAACCTCCGAGTAAGAAAAAGCACGATTTCTTAAATACTCCGATACTTCTTGATTTGTTGAAACAGTAGGATCCACTGCAACTGTTAATAGGGGTTTTCAGAACGGCACGTCAGGTGTGTGTTATGAATTGGGGAAATGAATATTGCACAAGTCATGTTAGGAGAATTAAAAACGTGGACAATAGCACTAGGATATTTTTTCTGCCACTTCAAAGGGGTTATGACTAATAACAGACAATTATTCTGACGCAAAAGGAAAAGGAGAACATAAAAGGTATATATTGAAATTCATGGTAACAGTAACATCTTGATATGAAGGAAATAAATTAGAATTAGAACTGGCTTTGGATGCTCATCACTCTTGATGCCAAACTCATCAAATACAGGCTAGATTTGAAATTTTTAAATGATTATGTTTAAATAAAATCCATCTTTTTAAAAAATAATAGTTAATAGATTATTTTTATTTCAGATTTTATATCCATTAAAATAATTATTTAAAAAATAAAAAAAAATAAATATGGACCTTTCAAATCAGATTTGGACCTCCAGATGGCACAGTCCAAATGATGAGCATCCAAACTCATTCCAAAAGGCAAGTAGGTGATTTATTACTTTTACTTGGTTTAAGAAATAATAGTAACTAGTCTTAGTACTCATCATCTTGATGAGCATCCTAAATTCATCAGATCTTGACCGTGTATATCTCATTTAAATTGTCTGGATTTAAAATATTTAATTATTTATTTTAAATAAAAGAACTATTTTATGAAAAAAAATTATAATTAAGAGATTTTCTTTATTTTAGATTCTATACATGTTGAAATAATTATTTTGAACAAATAAAAAGGAAAAAAATAAATCCAAGCCTTTCAAATAAGATATAAACGATCAAAATCTAATAAGTTTAAAGTGCTCTTCAAAGTGATGAGCACTGAAACTGGTCCCAAACAATATGATTTCTTCAAAATTACACTCAGTAAAGTCATTAGTTAGAGATTAAAAGAGCTGTTAGGGAAAAAGTTATTATCAAAACATGTTATATAATGAAGGATAAATGAGCATCCACTATCCTACTTTTATTTTTTACGTGAATCCAACACCCTATTGAATTTTATGATCTGCATCCTACAGCCTAATCATACTTCTTTTGACCAAAAAAAAAAAAAATAATAATCATACTTTCTCATCTCATCCTTTGCTTGCTAAGGACAAAGCTGCACGTGAGGAGAGACTAATAAAAACAAGCAGTATTTTGTCTGTACCTTCCGGTTTTTTCATTTTGAAGATCCAAATTCCTAGGGAAATCAGAATTACAACCGTCAAAGCTGAAACAGATACAATTGATAGAATAGGGAATTTGTGCTTTTTCTTCTTGCATGGATCCCTCAAACAGAGGTCAGGATTATCGTCCAAACTGAAAGATAAGTCAAATGGGTATAGTTAAAATTACAAATTGAATTTGACTCGGTAATATTTATTGAGTTTTATAAATCTTTTCCATCAATAGCCTCAAAAAAGCAAGAGCCAATGTAAACTGATTTTAGTTTAACACAAGAGGTGAAAAAAGGCAGTCAAGGCTGAGCAACTATGGCAGATTCAAGGTGAGAAACCTCATTGCCAGATCTGAATTGTCTTTAAGAGCCTTGGGAATTGAACCTATAAGCTTGTTGCCACTCAAATTACTGCAAAAAAATCGTGAAATGCATTCAATTAGCATGGGGTCTTCAAGTTATGAACATATATCAGGTATTAAAAAAAATATTAATGCATTTTGTAAGACTTACAGGATTGTCAACTTTGGCAATTTAGCAAGAAATTTGGGTATCGGTCCTGACAGGCCATTGCTTGATAAATCCCTAAAACATACAAAAGCAATATTTTATATGACAAAATTCTTAATTATATCTGAGATTTTGTCCTGAAGAAATTATTAATTACATACTTACAAGGATTCTAACTCTGTAAAATGTGAAAATGAAGCAGCTATTTGTCCTCTTAAGTTGCTGGCGCTCAAGTTTCTGCTTTTGATAATGATTAATATATACATAGAGGCGCAGGAGATGGGTGAAGTTTCTAGTGGCATATAGCTTACATGATTGATGATTATATTTTGAATAATTAACATCAAATTAACTCAATTCAATTTTACATTCAAGTGTCAAACAAGCCAATATTTTGGAATGAGTGGAACTAATAATTACTGTGAGATACTCAAAGGAATGTTTACTGTAACTCAACAAGAGTGAAAACAGATACTTACAGTGAGAAAATCCTGGGGTTAGAGTTATTGTTGTCATATCTGCAACGAAGTCCCAACCATTCAAATTTCTCCGGAACACATGGGTCACCTTGCCACTCTACTTGGTAGATTTCGTAGGTTTTTTTTATGTCCCGAATGGCATCCGCTATATTGTTACCAATAATAAACAGGGTCTCAGAAGCCAAAGCAACAGACTCAGAGATCATGAAACAACAATAGAAAATAGTTGGTTGCAATACCATCTGTTTGGTAAGTTGGAGGTGTTAGTGGTGATATGATTTTATGAGTTTCGATGGCATTAAGGATCGGAGGAGCATCAGATTCTGATGTTGCACTTATGTTGAAACGAAGACCATCTTGATCTGTAACTTTACTAACTGTCACCGGCTTTAGGTATTCAAGAGTTATCGGCTCTGAGTTGATATTTTGACCATTAACAGTAATATCAATTACTCTCTTTTGCCCGGCGGGAAGCTCCTCGATTTCAAAAAAGTGAAAGTAGACATAATATCTGAAAGACTTTTCAGGTGGTTGCGTCCAGACAAAATCATAGTCAAGGCTTAAAGCAAAGGAGTGATTCAATGATGCGGTCGCAGACATGAGCACTTCTACCGGTAATTTGTAAGAATCGTTTATGCTTCCAACATCAATATATTTCGACGTATTGATCTTGTTCCAACCTTTATCTTCAAAAATATTGTCCACACGCCACACACGATCATACGTGTCATCCTTAAACCTATATGCTTGGAATATTAGATAAATAAATACACAATTCATTGAAAAACCTAGATGATGAAATCATGCAAAACACTAACAACAAATATAAGATTAGAGTCACCTTGTAAACCGGCCTGAAATAAACTCAGTGGAACCAACATCGACTCTCGTATCAAGGACGAGCAGTGATTGAGAAGGAGAAGGGGTTAGATAAATAGAATTGGTGAGAGGTCGCAGTTCCAACGTAGAAATGAAAGGGATTCCTCTGCCAGTGTTGACTAGGCAAACTTGTATGGTGTCGCTTATTGTGGGAGTATGGATAATCTCTGCAAATTGATAACCGATATAATCCAAATCCAAAGTAGTCCAAAAATCGACATTGAGGAACAAGTCAAAAGTTGGAGTTTGATTTTTGAAATCATAATTTCCATATGCGAAGAAAGCTCTGATAAGGTAATTTTTACTTTTGCCCTGTTTTGGTTTTAGGGTGTAGCAGTTCTTTTTTCCTTTTGGAAAAAATCTCAGCGTCTGCAGTTGTCTTCCAAAAAGAGAATGATCTAAGTCAGTTCTTGATTCGGGAGCCACCATTGAATTTGTTCCTGTTTCTACGAAATCCATATCTGCCTGATATGAGATTCCAGTTTCGGGATCAGGGTATCCACGACTTTCTCCACAGTCAATGTTTATGAAATCTGTGTACACAAAAGTTGACGCAAATTTATACTAGTGCAGTAGTTTAACCATCGAAGCAAAAGGTTAGCCAGCCATAAGCTTTAGTCGACATGAGCAGAAACTTTGAGAGATTTAGGGTGTCAACAACCCTTCTCTACGTCTTGATTTTTCCCCACTTTTAAAATTTTTTCATGATTTTTGTTAAAAAAATTTGTATCTAAATTAAAAAGAAACTATACAATTTTAGAGTATTTTTGCTTTGAAAAATCGTAAAAGAAAAATTTTAAAACATCACCATTTTTTGCCTATAAGATATCAAGGTGTCACTCATTTTATATAAACTATAATGATAACAAACCAAAAAAAAAAAAAAAAAAAGCAAAAGAAGTGAGGAAAAATTACGAAGCAGTTAAGAGGAGATAGCTGACACTCGAATTCCAACTTTATCTGCTTACCTGGGTGAGCAGCATCTAGCGTTGCAGCACAGATATTAAGCAAAAGTTGGATCAAAACGAACCACACAATCCATTGTGGTGCCTTCTCCATGAGATTAGTGGAATTCTATGAAGACGCTATCTCTGGCTCATATTATCATGTTATGATAAATATAAATATATATAAAATAGGAACAGTTAAGTAGAAGATACGTAAAAAAGAAGAAGAACAGAAATGAACTAACGATGCAGCTTGGGAGATCTCAGATTCAAACCAAGATGAGCAGAGGTTTTGTGTACGCTAGTAAAGAGGAGGGGGTGTGTGTTTATATAAGTAGAAATTGTAGAGAATTAATAATTGATGATAGATCTTTTAGAGGTGGCGGATTGATGAGAGGTCGTAGTCTGCTTTCATTGTTTCTTTAATTATATGTATTTTTTGAATTACTAATTACTAATTAATTATAGATCTTTGATATGAAAAAATCAAGAACAATTATGCTAATTGACTCACTCTGGTTCGTTATGGCGACCAACCATGCATCATGCATATACACATCAACCTTAAATATGGGCCCCGTAAAAACACTATTTCCCAGCTGACTTGGTCCACGTAAGCGCAAAATCCAAAATCCCTTTATCTTGTCTGGAACGTGAAAGATGGTCCAACTCCAACGTAATACTACTAGCTTTCATCTGTTAATATTTTTAGTTTTCCACAATTATTTCCGGTGAATATATATACACTTTTCTGAAGAGAGTGTTTATTTAATTAGTTCTATTTATTTCTAAGTCACATCATTAAATTATATATTATATATATATATGTAATTTTACTCTTCATTTATTATCATATAAATTATTGTTTATTGAAAAGTGTGTGGATATTAAATAGGGTAAAATTGAAAGGTTATTAAATTATAAGGCAAAGTTAATGAGGGTTAAATTTTTTTTGATAGATATTGTCATGCTTTATAAAAAGGAATAGAGAAATATATATATATATATATAATGTATATGTGTGTGTATGTATATATGCGCCAACCTTGAATCCTATTTGCCGGCTAGTAGAAATATACTCATCTGGTCTTATTTATCAGGCACTTCCAACATATTTCACACAGACCAAGAAGAACCTTAAACTATATTAACTGTCCATTAAAATATAACAACTTTTCAGCTTTACCTCTATTTAATATATACACATTTAAAAAAGAATAACTATCTAAGCTGTTATAAATGGAGGATAAAATAATAAATTCATGCTAAAAATTTTATGAAGTGGCTTATGTAACACCTATCCCTTATATACTAGTAGAATTATTCTATTTAATCATGATCCATTAAAAGCCAGGTTTCATCCTGGGAATTATATATATTTTTATTTCCATCCGGCCCTTCGAATCCTGAATTAAGTCAACCATAGCCAATAGGGTTTAACATTTGACACCCTGGCCATTGGCTCACACGACGAGATACGTAATTAGATACACATAATTTTAGGCCAAATAATAATTATATCAATAAATTTGACCATTTCCTTCAATAGCAGTCATTATGATCTATCTGCCCTTAGTCATCTCCTTATGGAGGAATATTTACATACCAAAATAGATATACAATATATATATCTTCACTTCAAAATAAGATGCATTTTAGCAAAATATATACACACAAAAGATCGCCAGCTTCCTGCGCCTTTAAACTCCACCGATCACTACTCCCTTGCCCTTAGGAGTACTTGCTCTTGCTGTATTACATGGAAGAAGGGGTGAGATTCTAAAGAATCCCAGTAGTAACAAATTTCCCTCACGTATCATACAGATCACAAACAACATACTACACAGGCCAAAGAGAACAACACCTTGCATCCAAGTACACCCATATAGTTAATCGCTATCTATCGCGCCCACATTCCAAAATAAATGGAAACCAGCGCATATTGTCATGACAAATATTATTATGCAAAGGCAACTTACATGTTCTCATGCACAATCAGCATAAAGGCACATCCAAGCATGTGGCAATCCATATACAATCACATTAAAGGAAAAGAGTTACTACCTTTTGCTTTTTCTTCTGTACTAACTTCCCCTTGCTTCTTCCTTGACTCCCTTCTTAATGGACTTGAACAAATATCAAATCCTATAAATTATATAGGTAAGGGCAATTAATAATTATATATATATAGATCATTTATTCCTAGGCTTCAAAAATAATCATCAACACCCTTGAATATTCAAGGTCCTTAAAATTTATAATAGCAATAGTATTTATTTCATACTTTTATAAAATTCCAGCTTTATCAATATCATTCTATCTCCTACTATAATGTCCCCTAGTTTAAGATTTCATTTCCTCTTCAACCCACTTGACCGAAAATACTTCCCATTTATACATAATCAAATCATTGCCATGATTTAATTTCAGCTGCAACATCCCATATTAACATCATTCCTCCCTTTCATAATATATGGATGTCTTTTGCTCCTCTAAATGCTCATTTACTGGTAAAATTTAATCATTGATCAAAAAGGTTGGTCCACTAACTAAATAATATTCAGCATTTGAGAAGACAACCCAATAAACTTCGAATCAGATTTTGGCTCTCAATTCAACATTCCTCCTCTTGTTAAATTCCAGATTTAAAGAATAATCACTTCCAATCCGTGTAGCATTCAAATATTCAAACTCATTTTGCCCTTTCCTATCCAGCGGTTAAGACCATTTAACCAAAACAAAACATAAGAACTCCTTTTCTTTTCCCATTAACCTCACGGCCTTCACTCCAAAATATCATGTAGCTTATTTATCTTCATGATCATACGATTTCCTTTTCATTTGCCTTTCACGTATGGAGGCCACGTATCAACATAAACATTTGGGATGTTGGGTCCGAACATGTCTTCGAGATATCATTAAATTAGAATCAGCCCAACTCTTTCTCCCAATACTCTGTCTCAAAAGGCTTGGTCCTATATATATATATATATATATTTACAGCTCATGCGTTTCGTTTTAGCATTCGAATGCTTCTTGACCAGCAAAATCGAACAGCATCCTTCCCTCCTTAAGTCTGAAATTTTTTTATTCAAAGCACGCACTCTTCGATCCCTCAATAACCACACAGAGCATATAAAATCAACATATTATAATCATACAACCAGAAATAATTAATTATATTTAGACTTGTTAATCATCTATTACCCACCAGAAGCCATTTCCTTAAATACTCAAACCCCTGTTTCAGAAACTTTAACCAGAGCAATCAAACCGTGACAAGCAAGTGCGAAATCTCAACCACAACTTCATCCTAACCATTAAGCACGTTCTACAGCTTAACTGTCATGCGTTCACTTTCTCTCCTCTCCTCCCTCAAAAACCAGATTTCATCTTCACACCATCGTCTTGCAACACATGACCAAATAACAAAAATAAAGATGGAAGAAGATTCAGGAGACTCACCTTGTTTGATTTCCACTTTTAGACGAACCGATTCTCTCCTCTACCAGCCTTTCCCTTTCTTGATCTTTCTCAGACTCTCCAGCTCTCCCTCTGTTTGCACTTCGAATGCAGAGGAAAAATAAGAAGGGAGAAGATATTAGGGTAGAATAAGTCGGTAAGGGGGTGTGAAATGACTATTATACCCTTTGGTCTTTTTTCCCTTCAATCTGATCCTTCTCTATTTTTCTTGGGTAATCAAATAATTCCAGAAATCACACCTGGATATTTATATGAATTTTCTTCTTCCATTAGCTTCTTTAGTATATAAATAATTATCCTAAAAATCTCACCTCAAAAATTATCCTCTAACTATTTTTCTTGAATATTCCAAGAAAATAGGTCCTAAATTTTTGAAATTAACTTTATAATTATTTAGACCATATTTTAAAGGTCTTAATCTCAACAATTTCTCTAAAAATTTCTCCTTCATCATGCTTTACTCAAATCCATAAAATTTGGGATATTACAATCTCCCCCCCGTAAAATAAATTTCGTCCTCGAAATTTAAAACGTACCTTGAAGCATAAAATCTGGGTATTGTTTCTTCATGTCCTCCTCTAATTCCCAAGTTGCTTCTCTAGGAGTCAATCCCTTCCAAACCACTTTCACATATGGTATACTTTTATGCCGGAGTTGTTTTTCCTGACGATCAATATTTGTTCTGGCTTTACTTCAAAGGTTAGATTATCCTGTACACTCATCTCTTCATGTTCAATTATATGTTCAGGGTCTGGTTGATACTTCTTCAACTGAGAGACATGAAAGACATTATGTAACTTGCTTAATTGCGGAGGCAAAGCTATTTGATACGCCACTGGTCCAATTTACCAAGAATCTCAAATGGACCAATGTATTTTGGGCTCAGTTTCTTCGTCTTCATTGCTCGCCCAATGCCCGTGATTGGTGAAATTTTGAGGAATACATGATCTCCGACTTCAAATTCTAATGGTCTCCTTCTCTTATCAGCATAGCTCTTTTTGTCTGCTTTGAGCAGAAAGCAGTCTTTTTCTAATAATTTTGATCTGCTCTGTGGTTTGATCAACTAATTCCGGACCATACAACCTTCTCTCCCTTAGCTCAGTCCAGCACAATGGAGATAATTTTGATCTGCTCTGTGGTTTGATCAACTAATTCCGGACCATACAACCTTCTCTCCCTTAGCTCAGTCCAGCACAATAGAGGTCGACACCTCCTCCATACAATGCTTCATATGGCGCCATCTGAATACTCGCGTGATAGCTATTATATATGCAAACTCAGCAAATGGCAAGATATAATCCCAGTTTTTCTTAAAATCCAAAACACAAGCTCTCAACATATCTTCAAGTGTTTGGATAGTTCTTTCTGTTTGACCATCAGTTTGAGGGTGATAAGCTGTGCTAAATTTCAGTTGAGTGCCCATAGCTTCATGAAGAGATCGCCAAAACTTTGAAGTAAATCGTGGACCCTATCTGATACAATGCTAGCTGGTACACCATGGAGTTTGACTATCTCTTTAATATATACATGTGCTAGCCTCTCTACATGTGCTAGCCTCTCTAAGGTATAGTTAGCTTTAATTGCAAGAAAATGAGCAGATTTTGTTAAACGATCAACTATCACCCAAAT